AAGAGAAATCTTACTACAAACATCTGTTTACAGTGTAGAAAGCTATACTTCTGCTGGCTGTCTACAGGTCTTCAGAGTTCATGAAGAGAAGCTGGCAATACTGAGATGTAATGCAGACTATGCAAAAGTAAATATCTAAAATCAGTCAGATAAAACACCTCCCAGGAAAGATCCTCTCCTTTGACTATATAGTCTACAGCAATTAGCTCAGCAACAGACATCTAAACTCTATTTATCCAGAATAGCTGAAATGAATCCCACTGCTGGTGTAAACAAACTGAAAATGGCTTATAACAAAACCCATTTTCTTTTCAATGGCTCAAATATGATGTGAAAGTCTGGACTGTCACTGGCACACAAAAAATAAACATTAGCAGGTCTGATGTCCCCCCTACCTGGCTGTGAGAAAAGACCTTGCCTACTAGACTGCATGTTGAGGCTCAGGCTTTCAGCAGAGCACCAGAAAGACTCATTACCTCACCAGATCATTAGACTGAATCTGTGATCAAAGGTGGTGTGTCATTTATGGGTACATTTTTGTTCTATAATGCAATAATTAATTGGCAGAAGTTTTGAATATAAAATGTGATGAATTCCCTTCCCACTCTCCTAGCTGTCCCCATCATCATATGATTCAATGATCAACATGGTGTTAGCCAGGACCCAGACAGTATGCTGACACAGCTCCCCAATTTCCTTTCCCCTGCTCCATTTCCTTTTCAAATTGAAAACTATTAGGAGTCTTTAAGCAAATAATAGAAACCTAAGGCAGGTGCCTGTTATAAATTGTTCACTAGTTACTTTTAACCTAACCTAATGTCTTCTCAAACATTACTTCATAGAAGGCAGTGAGAGAAAGAAATGCCTCATGAACTCTGACAATCAATGGGTCAGGAGCTAAGGTTATAATAATATAGCCCATTTCTTCTTGTTTGTGAAATGACCTGAACACTGATCCCTAGGTCTTTCATCCGAGATTGGCTCCCCTCAGTAAGAACACGGGTCTTGCCAAGAGCAGCCCTTGTCTAGGATCATACCCTGCTCTACACCCGAAGCAGGGAAGGTGACATAAGGCTGGTGGTGCCAGGTTAGTGCTAGCTTAGGATTTTACCACACCCAACCTAGGCACAACTTGATGATGTGCTCAGTCTAGATCTGCCACATGTCTGAGGTTAAATTAATCAGTGTTTAGGAGGTAGCTTGACATTCATAAATAGAAATCACTTGAGAAATTTGAAGTATTCTGCAGGCAAAATAAAATATGAAGTAAATATTAATAACAAGAGTTAGTAATGACTGTTTTTTATGCAAAACAGACAAATGTACAGAAGTGCTTATTAATTCTGAATCATTGAAGCAAGTATCTAGGCTCAAGAGTTGGAAATGCTGCCTAAAATGCCAATGTGATCAGTCAATGTTAAAATTTACCTTCATCAACTAGGCATCGCATGTCTTTTTCTCAGATACAAATTCCTCCTGTGTTCACTGGAAATAATATAAAACATTTCACAGAGGATAAACCTACAACTCTATGTATGTACAGAGCAAGGCATGCAAGAGGACAATCTGTTAGCATATATGCTCCCCAACACATTGGGCATCTTTCGTGTTGTTGGAAGTATTTCTCCTCATGCTGGGTGCCCGCAAATGCAGCATGGAATGATGCTATATTGGTCACAGATCACTTTCCCCATTTGGGTCCCCAGTGAGGTGTAAATATTTCAGAGCTAATGCATAAGTCATGTACACCTGTGTTTCTGAGTGCTGTAGTAGTGAGACATAACTCTTGGGTATTTCTGAGCATGGAGGAACATGGATTGTTTTCTGCCACTGCAAATGGTAAATACATGGAGATTTTTAATGTTTAACACTCATACTGGATCTGCAAATTCTTGGAAACCATTGCCTCCATCCTCAGGCAACGTCTAAGTGATGTTCTGCAAACATGTGCACCTTGCCAGGACTGGCAGACACCCCAGCCCCTGTCCATACATGACTATCTAGTGGGGCCCCATATCACTGAAATCCAATACATAGAGTTAATTCACCCAAAAATGAACACCCCAAGCACACTTGCTATTACTGTGTAGGTGAACATTTTGACAGCAAACAGCATTGGAGGGATTCATATTATTGCTGCATCAGTAGGTGTTGGGTGCCTTTGTGTTTCACTTGTGAATAAATCCAGACCTCAGAGAAAATCCTGAGCACATTCATTGTCTTTCTCACACTCATACTAGAAGGGAGAAAGAGCTAAGCTTATTTATGGATAAAATGTTTGAAATAATAAAAAGCATCACACTGTGTACTGGCCTGATTGGGAGGGGTGAGATCCTGGAGAGCAGGAGAGCAGAATGGCTTCCTGAGATGGTTTGCTCTGTATTTGCAGAGGCCGGTATTTTGACTGTGAGGTGAAGGGGGAGATGGGGACGCATATTAAGGGTATGCTAATGTAAGGAGAAGGAAGCAGTTGGTCTCACTGATATGAGAAGGAGTATTGATGGAGGTCCTCAGGTGCAGGCAGAGAGGCTCCTGGGTTTCTGAACAAGGAAATTGCCTCCTGGTGTATTTCTGCTGCGCTGAGGAAAATAAGACTCCATCCACATTGGTAAATAAATAAAATAGAACCAAAAAATAGCTAATTTTTATCATGGACCTTACAATGTACTGCTCAGGAAAGTATACACTACTTTTCGAGATGCTGAGTGGGACTCAGACACCTCTGTTGCAGGCAGTGCCTCAGGGAATGTTTGGTGTCAGTCCATGTGAAAGACTCAGTTAACTAGACAGACATGTGTCTGATCTAAGATACCTTTTATTTTTCTCATGAAAGAAGTGACCCTAAAGCAAAGTGACATCAAAGCAATCCTAAGGTACAGAGTATAAACACCTTTCTTTGCAGGGAAGGAGCCATTTGTCCACCCCAACTTTTTATCTAGTAATAAAACTGGAATAAACATAAAAATTTTGTAATTTAATTTCTCCACTGCATTCTTCTATGTGCTCCCATCTTCACTTCTTGGGTTTTCTAGATTCCCAGCTATTTATTTATTTATTTATCTATTTACTTGTTTGTTTATTTATAAATACTCTCAAACACTTTTTTTAGGGCCACATTTATAGTAATAAATAGAGATTAAGCTTTCAGCACAGGGATACAGTGATGTGTATTTTACCACTAGTACCTACCTACAACTTCTATGTGAGACTGTCACAACTGTCACAACCAGGGGGTCAGGTGTGATTGAATTTTTCACAATACTTATACTTTTCCTACAAATGTCACAATGCTGCAATGCCACTACACAACTAAAACTTTTGCATACTGATATGGCTATCATATTGATATAGGCATGAAATAATGTTGATATCATTTATTATTACATACATTAAATATGTCAACAGTACTATAGCATGTCATCCACCACTAGTCCCAGTGCTTTGTGGGGATTATGGACTATTATTGGTCCTATTTACTAAATGAGACATCATTGGCCACACTAGCCCTTTATGTTTAAAATATAGTTTCCTTCTCAGCTATTTTCTCATCACACCAATGAATCTTATGCAAGTACATAACCCCAACCATGGTGTTTCAAACCCAAAAAATCTCTGCAATTTTTTGTTTTTTTCTGTCACTCAATAGGCTTCATCACAAGAAAAAGAAAAAATATTGCTGACTCTATAAAATAATTCCTAAAGCTTTTCTACAGCTAAAGTAACGTAATAGAAAAAGCATCACCATGGTCCATGGTGACAGTTTTTCCATTCCCCATATGGGTACTTGCAACGTCAGGCCTGTTTTTGTCACTAACCCTTCAGACTTTGAAGCTGCTTAAACACAAGCATCCACTTCTACTGAGTCACTTTATGGATTTCCATGTGAGATGCATGGGGAGGATGCAGAACCTCCTGGACACCCCCACTTCCCTGAAGCAGCAGCCAGAGGTTAGATAGGACACTGAGGGCATCTCAGGTGACACTGCACAGGCACAACCATGCCAACCCCAGCAGTCTGACTTGCTATACTGTACATGTGTTTGCCTACACACAGTCACTGTGTATAGCTGTCAAACACAGTCCAACACTCCTAGGTTACTTTGTCACATCTAGAGGAAGCACCCATGAGCCAGAGAAGTCCTTTTTCCCAAGAGCTGCTCCTTTGTTCTTTGATATTCAGAGAGATGCACCATGAAATGTGTTCAGTAAATGATTTCAGTTTGTGCTCTTCTTTGAAATTGTCCACGCAGCTGAATGAGCTACATTTTAGAGTGAAACTCAGGTCCTGTTGAAGACTGTAAACATTTTGCCACTGACTCTAAAGAAATCAGGATTTAATCCTAGAAAGTGTCTATCTGGACCAAGAAAGATATGTCTTTCAACTGTCATCACCATTATCTGGAGGGGCAATGGAGGAGCAAAGTTGGTCTCAGTGATGAATGCTCAATCCCTGAGACCACGGTGGAAAACGCCCCAATGTAGTTGCTCTTTCAGATATTAAAAGGGGACTGGACTGAAAGTCAGATCTGGTTTGCTCTGAGATTTTTAAAGAACAGCTCCAGAAGTGTTACTTGCATTTTATTTAGTACTTATAGTGCAACAGCAATGAAACCTAATATTACAGGGAGTGTGTGTTCCCACCAGAAAATATCTTCAACAGCTCATAAAAACCTGGCCATTTATCAGCACTGCAGGAGATCTTTATTACCTCCCTACAGCATATGCTCTCCTATGATGTAGTTATTGATTTAACAAGTAAACTTCGTGGCAAGCTTTTATCTTGGAATTAGCAGCAAAACTGAAATAGGGCCCTTATTATTCTAATAACACAGAGATATGAGATTCCTACATATTCCAAAGGCCATATCATCACCATAACAAGCATCCCATTAGGGCTGTCTGAGCTGCCACATCAAAGAGTGGACTGTGAGAACTTTAACAATCATGATATCATACTCATCCCCAGCAATTTCACAACTCTTTTGTTTTTCTTCCTGCAGGTTTGGACATCAGGCAAGCTCAGGTTATTGTGCTGTCATCGGGTACCAAATGTATAAATGGGGAATACATTAATGACCAAGGGCTTGCGGTCAACGACTGCCATGCAGAAATTTTAGCAAGAAGGGCATTTGTTCACTTCCTCTACTCACAGCTGGAGCTACACTTAAGGTAACTGAATTCTGCTGATGCTTGGGAAATGTTATACAGCCTTCAGTAGAATAGATCCATCCTCCAGACATCTGAACTATTTGTTTCTTTATGTTGTTGTTTCTGAGTCTTTAGCTGATGAAAGACCAATACACTGCACAGAAAAAAAATGAGATAGGCTAGAGTGTTGGGTCATGAGCTCCTTTACTTCAGCTGATTTTCTTTCAGTAGCTATTAGATATGACTCATAAAGTTGGGTTTTATGAAGCCTGTTGGTTTTGTACAAATCTTTACGTGCAGGCTTATTAACATCATTCACTGGACAGAGGCTGGAAGGGGGTCATTTTGCTCATGGCAGTCATTCTCCTGTCTTCCTCGCTGTTGTTGAAATACCTCTAGGAAGTGATTTATTGATCATTAATGCCTTCATTGACTCACTAGAGAACCAATGATTGTTAACAGTACAGTAAACTTTGTGCCAAAGTGCAAGATGCTATCACTCACTCCTTCTTTATGATGTTTTAAAATGTTATAGCATGTCGAATTATTACAGAGGAATTACTTTTCCTGTCTTCAGCCAAACCCACCCTGTTGCCATTTAAATGGTTGACAGGTCATACACTGCCGGGAAACTGGTAATAAGTGGGGTACCACAGAGATCTATCCTGGGACCTTGCTAATCATGTCTATCAACAATCTGAAAAAGGCTATGTGGTGCTTGGTTATAAGCTTTGAAGAGGACACCAAACTGTGGGGAGGACCAGTTGATATACTCGAGGGCTAAGCTGTCATCCAGGATGGCTGGAGGACTGGTCCAGCAGGCACTTTGACAGAAAACTCAGCAAGGACAAATGGAAAGTCCCACACTGAGGAGGAAAGAATGACCTGAAACAACACAGGCTGGAGCCTTCCTGGCTGGGGATCAGCCCTGCTGAAGAAGGACAGGGTTCGTAGATAGACAACAAGCTGAATGTGAGATAGTAGTGTGCTTGGCAGCAAAGAGGGTCAACAGGATGAAGAGGCAATCAAGGAATGTGATCACCCCCCACTACTCAGCACTCATTAAACCACATCTACAATAGCATATGCAGTTTTGGGTCCCCCAGTACAGGAAAGACATCAACCAACTGAAACAGGTTCAGCAGAGGTCACCCAGATGCTCAGAGGCCAGAGCACTTGGTCTGTGTGGAGGAGCTGAGGGACCTGGACCTGGACCTGATCAGCCTGGAGATGGAATGGCAGACCCAGCAAAACATATGTCAACAATACAATGGAGCTGGCATCTTTACCAGGGCGCACAGTGAGAGGATGACAGACAACAGACACTCACTGAAATAAAAGAAGCTTAGTCTGAATATTAGGACAAACTGTCCCCATGGGAATAGGCAAACAGTGGAACAGGTCACCCAGCAGGGTTGTGTAGTCCCCTTCCTGTCCTGGAGGCTTTCAAAACCTGAGTGGATAAAGCCCTGAGCAACCTGTCAAACTGCTTTGGGCAGAAGGTTGGGCTAGAGACCTGAGGTCGTTTCCAACCTGAATTATCCTACGATCCTATGAAAACTGATCAGAAGTGAAACTGGGTGGCATTTATTATACTGAAGGAACCAAGGAATGAAGGAAGCATGGAAGTAAAACAAACAAAACCCTCTTATCTATAGGTCTTCTATAGGTCTTCTGCCCTCCATTCTTGCTTGAATTTTCATGTGACTTTATCTGAAGGCCATTAACCTTAGTGCAAAAACTCCTTTTGACTTCAGAAGATTTTGCATCAGGTCACAGACACAAGGATTCATCTGATCAGGATTGTGTGTTCCTATGAGCACCTATGATATTGTTGCACCAAAGCAACAATAAGAGGAACAATGATTATTTTCACTTCAGTCTGGAGTTGAAGAAAAGAGAGTATATTGAGTAGATGATCTTGGCTAACAAAGGGGGACAAGAGCCTTGAAGGGTTTAATCAAAAATTATATTCTCTCTATTTCAATCTGAATTGCTTTCAAGTTTACATTAAATTATTATGTTTTCAGCAGTGTAGCAGCCCTAGTACTTGCTTTGTGCTGTGGTCTCTTGGGAAACAAGTGCTACCACTGTGTCTTAAACTATTGTATTGATCCACCTCCCTAACATGTTCGGTCATATTATTATTTTGTTTGGATCAATGTTAACAGTCTTTTGTTAAGAGAATCCCCAGTGCAGCACAAGTTCTGTTCACAATAACTTCAAATTACCCTCTGTTCAAGCAAGAGCAGGTACCACTGCTTCCCTGACCTGCACACATGGTAAAATTCTCAGCCAAAATTGTCAAGTCTAGGCACCTTTGAAAGACAGAGTTGGAGATATTATCAAATCAGACTTTGCTTCCTTAAAGTCCATGGAGAAGCAAAACTGTGTGTTATAATATATTCCTCAATTCTAGTATTTTTTGCTACAGTCAGTTTTATCAAGAGCTTTGTCATATGGTGAGAAAACAGAGATATTCAAAAGGAAATGAAAAATACATTTCCTGCATGTTGAAGTCACATTTAACCTTTTTTCTCTACAAAAAGTGCAAAAACTCCCTCTGACAGAGAAATCACATGGGTCTACCACATAGCTAAAAGGACAGGTTTTTTAGGACAGACATGTTAACTCAATTCCACTGGGACTTCCTGCACACCAGCTCCTCAGGCTTGCAGGAAACACAAATGTGGCTTCTGCATTGTTATACATTTGCATTAACCTACCGCAAATTAAAGTCCCCTCTCAGGCTAGGAACCTGTTGTACAAAGTTGTATATGAACTGAGATCAAAAAGATGGTTCCCTAACCCAAAAAAAGAATGAAAGCATAGTTTTTGGATAAACGAGCTTAAATTTTCCATCCCTCTGTATGGAAAAGGCAAATTTGTTCTGTCAAGTGTTCCATATTTTCCACATACCTTCATTCCACCAAGCCTACCTGCTCAAAGTGAGCTCCATGGCTGGATTTCAAATTCCAGGAACTTCCAGTACAATAATTACTTTTCTGTATGATATCGTCCTTGAAAAGGAACCACTTTTCCAGAATTTACATATACTACCATTGACCTCAGTGACAGCAAACCACATACTTGCCAGAGTGTAACATGAAGGCTTCAAAGAGCAGGGACAAGCAGGCTAGAGAAAGCAAGGACCAGGACAGAGAACTAATGGTCAGGAGAGATGGATTCACTGAGTTGAATTTACTTCTTGACACCTCACTTGAGATGTCTAAAATTTAGTCAGTCAAGTGTGAATTAGATCCCCAAGGTTCCTTTTATCACCAGTGGAAAAAGATGGACATCTCTGGAGTAGGACTCAGTAGACCTATTCAAGCATCTATTGTAGGTGAGATGAATTGCTGTGTACTGGGGCAAATTTTTTTCTCTTTCTATAGAACATAGGGTAACTGCTTCAGATATTTAAACTGTAGAACAATACCATCCATAAGCCAAAGTTGCAGCAATATGTAAATCACATTTTTTTTCCTTCTGTTCATGTTGCTAAATGTTAGAGGTGTGACTTTCCTGACTTTTCTTGGAAAAGAGAGTTCCAGAATGGGAACTTTATCCTCTCTAAGAAGCAAGAGTGACAAATACTTCAAAAGGAAACTTTCTTTCAACAATTCATTGTCTAGAGCTTGAGTTAAATAAAAGCTAAAAGCACAACTAAAACCTGACAGCTTCTAACCAGTCTGATTAAAACCCTTAGCTCTCCCAGATTTCATTTTTATGACAACCATAATCCTCCAGTTCTCAAGACTTTCACAAAAAAGATGAAAAGTAAGACATAAATTTTCTGATGTACAAAAGAACAAGAAAGACCTTTTGAGAAGCTTTTTTCTAAAAATCACCATCAAAAAGTACACAAATACCATAGTCTGATTCTCTTGCAATGACAGCAGTAAAATTCACATTGATTTCAGTGAGGTTAATTATACCAACTGGCCAATAAAGAAGAAAAGAAAATCCAACACTTCTTTTTTAAAGAAAAATAAAACTAATAGCCTATTCTTAAAATAAATCAGCACCATAGCAGTCTTGCTGCTGTAGTGGTCCTGCAGGTGCCGGAGGGATGATTTTACCGGAAGCTAAGTTCTTCCACCAAGTCAGATGCAAAACACTATTTTATACATAAAAAGCAAGGAATAGTCTTCATCCAGTCCAGTTATTTTTTTTTTTTCCAGGAAAAACAACTACTTGTTATACATCTAGTATTTCTTACTTTTGTCCTACTGGCCTCTCAGTGGACACATTTCCTTCCTTTTTAAGCCTTCTGTTAGTTTCTCTAGGATGCCATGCTGTAGCTTGTAGTACTAGAAACATCCTATACATAAGTTTACCAGCTCGTCTGCTTCTCTTCTAGAGAGTAAGGCCTTGTTTCAGTAACACTTTACATATATTAAACCATAAGCACGTGTTTAAGTATCATCTTGAAGTCAGCTCAAATTAAATGCATGTGATATGCTAAATAATGAACCTAAGCACAAGATTAGAATTTAGAACATTCTTAAGTGTTCCTATGAATAAGCCTCAAATCCTAACTCTCTCACAGAAAATCATAACAGGCAAAGGTTTAGGGACAAATTCTGCTCTTTTAGCCACTGCCAGCATGTGGAAATAATGCTTTAGTGCCACCCCCTGAATGAATGACATTTGCGGGCTCACCATGGGATTCTCTCTTTATTACTTTGCGCAGCTGTGTATGGCCATGCAAAGTGGCATTGCAAATGACTGCTACTGCAAACTCTTTCTCCCCCCCCTTCACAGATTAAAATAACTATCTCAGAGAGAAGGCAGAAGTGTACTGGTGCTGGGGGAGAAGTGACTGCAGAAGTGCATCTCACGCTCCACCTGGACCATTTTTACAAGGTCCCTGGGTCCCCCTGGGCTTTGAAATTCCCCAAGCATCCCATGTGCAAGAATGTCTGCTAAGCCATGGCAGACAGTATTGCATCTCAAACTCTTTTTATAACAATACTCTCAGAGTTTCATTATTAAAGGTATTCAGCCACTGTGCAAGGATGAATCTCATGTTTGAGTTCAGCCCCTAGAAAACCATCCCAAAGGCAGGTCAAGACTATATATGATATAAAGGATCTCAGCCTCCTGGAGGAAGAGTCAAGCTGTCTTGCCCTCGAGCCCTGCCATCTATTTTTAGAGCAGCTGTCTATCACCCAACCCATCAGCCACTGGCCACAGACGCTTCTCGGTACTCAGGGAGAGCAAAGAGAGCAAGGTTAATCAGTGAAAAATAATGAGTAAAAACAGGATGGGTGCTGATTACTGTGGACTCCTGAAATCCAGCCCAAAGAATGTCTGCTCCAACCTTACATAGCAACTGTTTCTAAGTACTGCAAGCTGCCCCCCACTCTGGTGAGGTTTAACATAATAATAGCAGGCATTAGGACTGCACAGCTTTGTATTCTCTCAGCTGATTTTGCCGTGAATTATTTAAAACTAACTGCAATTGCTCTAAAGTCTAAGCAGCAGGACTTACAGGTATTCTATTATTTCAGAGGATTGTATCAGGATGATAATATAATTAGTGCAGTTGGGAAATTCCAGCACAGCCAGCAGAAAATGAAGGAGCTGCATGTGGCAGCCCCAGCTCGGCAGCCAGTGTGGCTCCCTGTCCCTGACAGGCGAGCTAATGTGCCCGTAAATTCCTCCTGACAGCAAATGCATCCCAGCATCAAAAAATGACAAAACACCCAAACCATGGAAGAGTGACAGCCAAACAGCTTCAATAGCACAGAGGCTGCACAGAGCGAAAACAGACAGAGGCAGCTTGGATTAAGATTTGCTCTGAGGCTGAGTAGAAAGCACCCCTGTTTACACTAACAGGAGGTAGAGAAAACATCAGAAATCGCCTTGGTTAATGGGCTGTCCTATAGTGAATTAAACGGGTAGGATTCTGGCTTATTAAGAGCCTCCTAGGAAAACTGTTACTTGCAGGTGTCATTCTGTTCGGAGATATTCCTACAAAAAGAACTTTGTTTTTGGGGGAAGGACCAGGGCATCAGAAGGAAAGGAGTCTCACTGTAATTTCACTAATCACATTTTCACCTTCAAAATTATAATCACAACCATCACCCAAATGTACATATTAGAGTCAGCTGTCTGTCAGAGAAACCACCCATGTCTTCCCAAATGTAAATCATCTGAGGAACCACACAGCAGCGTAGCCTTAATGCGAGCTATTGCTGCAAACTGCAGGACTGGGAGGGTTTGGCCTCCCGGGCAGCTGCTGCTAATGGAATATGTGCACTGTGTCCCCATCTAGCTGCTGAACCACTGCGAAGATAAAAGCTTCATCTTAATAAGTATCTTTTTCAACTCAGCTGAGAAAAGCCCGCACAAGTTTTGTCCTCACTTCTCAGGATGGCTTACAATATCCAAAAATGCCAAGTGACCAAAAGGACACTGCTGGCTTAGACGGAACGCTCGTAGGTGGCTCTGGTTGAATGAGGAAGAAAAGCAGTGCCGGGGGAACAGGGAGGGTTGGCAGGAGTCATAAAATCTGGGTGCTTCATTACAGGCCCTTTTCAGCGGAGCATATAAACACACATCTTGGTTGCTGTGATGTTAATGGGATTTAAACATGTGCCTAGGCATTGTGATGAGCAGAGCCAATTTGTTCACATGAGAGCCTAGGAGAACTTTTCTTTCTTTTATTCATAAGAACCTCTTTAAAATCAATGTGTTTATGCATCTGCGTGTGTGAGGAAGGAGTGTTATCCTTCAAAAATCCACATGTTTTATCATTAGAATATATTTTAGGTAAGCAAGCCAAAAGCACTTTGACAGTTTTGACCCCCTTCACACATTTCTTCACTTGGAGAAGCTTATTGTTTTTCTCGTGTTGTCACTAGGCGAAATATATGATGCTAGGTGCTAATAAAAACAAACAAACAGAGGGAGAAAAACAGAGAGAGAGAGAGAGAAATGTTTCTGATTTGGCATGTAACAAATGACCTGGAACCTCTTTTGTGATCATAGCAAACGGCGAGAAGACTGGGAGCGATCAATCTTTGTGCGATTAAAAGAGGGAGGCTACAGGCTGCGGGAGAACATCCTGTTCCATTTGTACGTGAGCACTTCACCCTGCGGAGATGCACGCCTCAACTCCCCCTACGAAATCACAACTGACTGTAAGAAAAAAAATCTCCCCTCTCCTTTTGCCCCTTTGCATGTCTTTTTTCTTTATTATATTTAAGATCAGTCCTTCTTTCTTTCTTTGTTTACTTGCAGAAAAAGTTTCACTTGAGAGCAGAAACATTGCAAACTGTGTGGTGTGTGTGTGTCTGTGCAAGTGGTGTTTGGTCCTGTGTACTGGGGGAAAGTTTGCAGGGAAAATCAGAGCTGGGCAAGGCATGGGGGAGACTGCCATGTATGCCTGAGACTCAGTGGCTCTTCTAGGGAATATGTCCCCAATAGCCACATTTCCTACTAGGAAATGTAACCCCAACAGTAAATAAATGCTGTGGGAATGTTCTCCATGATGAAGGAGATACTTGAAGCCATGACCATAGGCTTGACCAGAGGATCAGGGCACTAGCTGGGGATGCACAGATTTTTCCCAGTGTTCAGGCAGTATGTATGGGTTGAAGGGCTGCATTTACACTAAACCCGAGCTGTCCAGGCTGCAGCAGCTCTAGTCTGAAGTAGAGCAATGGTATGATATGATATAATATGATATGATATGACATGACATGACACGACACGTTTGTAGTGTTGATTGAAGGTCAAACTCTCCAAATACTGCCTGCCTTTGCAGTGAATAATGTCAAGACCCTTCTGGAAAGGATCCTTCCCAGGCCACCCTGTCTATGTCAAATCAACTGCACAGTCACTGCATGGCAGATGAGCTAGATGGAGACCACCAGGCCAGCCTTGCAGCCCCTGGGCCCATACATATGGCATTTAAGCAGAAACATGGTTTTCCAGGGATTTCTCCTCTAGAGGTGGCCCTGCAAATGAAGTAAACAAATCAAATCTTGAGCCAGTGTGTGCCACCTGCAGACCTGCATTGTCCATGAAGAGACATCCCATCTACACCATATGACCCAGCACTCTCAACTCGTCACCCTGCCCAAACATGCATGTCCCCATCATTGCCCTGCCATCACAGAGGCCTGTCCTTGTTGCATTCCCACTGCACAAGTTTCACCCCTGCCTAGCCACAGGGAATTCCCCCATCAAGAGACAGGGGACTCAAGAGGTCTGTGGCTTGTTATCACATGTGCCTGTCACCCTGTGATCCAATGCACAATGCGCAAGGTACATTCTTATCTCTGCCCTTAGCTATTGCTTCTCATACATGCATTTTACAGTGCTGTAATACCCATAGTGCTGGCTGCTAAATGTACATATAATGAGAAATAGTCCTTGCCCCAATTACCTTGAATGTGAGGCAGACAAGACAGAAGAATGGATGGAGGAGGAAGCATAGACACAGGAATGTAAAATTAATCATCCAAGGTCATACAACTACCTAACTTCCTCACAGGCAAATCTATCAGACAGTAGTTTCGCTCCTGGTTCTTATTTATACAAGTTATTTATTAATGATTAGGTATTATTCTCCCCAGACTGGAATCTTTTTGTCATGTGTGAAACAGCAGCTTGCTGGTGCAAGAAAGCAGAATGCACCTATTCAGGAAGGAAATACACATCCTTACCTGACATGATTTCTACATTCTGTCAGCAGGGTTTATAAAATGAAGAAAAGCAAATAAATGTTTAGAAGGTAAACAGCAAATTGACAAATCCCTGATGAGATAACAAAACAAGAAGACAGCATCATCTTAAAAACAAAATTAAAAATAAAAAAGAAATTGCCTATGAATATAAAAAATGAATAGTGATTTTTAGCCTTCCACTCTATGAGTGTATCAAGAGATATCTAAAAGCCTTTATATTTGGCTATAGGCCCTCATGTTTTCCAGAAAGCAGGCTTCCTGGGGCACCCCTTACTTGACCTTAGAAGTGGAAGGACCAAAATTTGTAATTATTTTTAAAATGCGGTCCAGTCTCGAGAACAACCAAAGGCTGTCCAGGATGGATTCTGCTCTTTCATGCATGAGGAAGCAGGTGCTTTGGGCAGCTGACAGCCAGCACTGTCTATTGATATGCAGCTGAACCCAGTCCTAGAGGTGAACTGTACTTGGCTGATGGATTGCTTCAAAAAGCACATAAATCTACCAGCTAATGAGGGAATGCTTCTTTAGATAACAGTACATACAGGAAGCTGTGTTCAAAAATATATAATCATGCAAGGCCTGACACATACAGTAGACTTGGAGGTAGTCACAAAAATACTTTTCATGTTGGTTATTGCACTAATTATTGTCCCAATGCAGAAGCTGAGGCAGAAAGGGCTGTGTTTACCCAAGGTTACACAGTGATTCAGTAGCAGGACTTGACAGGGCACTACAACTGGTTTGTACTTCACTCTCTTAAGCAGATCCCTCCACCTTTGTCCTGTGCTCTTAAAATAATTTAGCACTGTGTAAAAAGCCATGTTGTCAAAAGCTGAGCTTCAGTGAGATAAGCATTTCCTTTTAGATCACATTATCCCAGAGACATCTGGAAAGATAAGTATTTTATAATGTTTATTGTTCAGATCTTCGCCTTTTTTTTTTTTTTTTCTAAAGAAATAACCTTTCTTTCATCCAGTAATGACAAGAAATTCCTGATGAATGCTGTTTCATTTCTTAAACAACAAAGAAACCTCTCCTAGAGCTAGCGCAAGCCATCAAACGTTACTGATTGTTCTCTAAAGATGCATTAACATTTAAAAACGGTGTCTCGCCATGTGGTTTCTGGTTTTGCGAAGGAATATGATAAGCCTTTATCAATACAGGGAGTGAGTAAAATCCACTTCTCAAATCTCCTTCCAAAAATTTCTTATTATCCACCGTGTCTTCCCAGCACCCTCAGGGAGGCCTCATATTTCCTTCTTATGAGCTTTGTTCTGGTAAGGGAGGACATAAGCTAGCATGTACTTGAAACCCAGTTTACTTCTTACTGGATAGTGCAGGATACCAAGTTAGTGACATGTTGTGGTGGTTTAGGCCTGATTGACAGCCAACCACAATGCAGCAGCTCTCTCTCCCTTCCCCTCCGGCAATGAGAAGGGACAGAGAGCCAGGCTTGGGGTTCAAGATAGGACTGGGATGGGGGAAAATCCCCCTTTTATGATCACGAGCAAAAGGCAGACTTGTTAGGGGAAGGAAAAAAAGAACATACATTTATTACAGACACTAACAACACATAACAGAGTAGGACAGTGAGAAGCATTGCCACATGCTGAGAACACCTTCCCCCCACCCCTCCCTTCTTCCCAGGCTCAGTTCTGCTCCCGATATCTCTACCTCCTCCCCCAGTGGCTCAGGGGCAGGGAATGGGGGGTGCAGTCAGTGCTGCCACTTCCTTCATCTTCGGTGAGGGGAGTGTCCAAAACTTGTTACCCCCTGCTCCATCGTGGTCCCCCTCTCACAGGAGACAGTCCTCCACAAACTTTCTCTGACTTGATTTCCTCCCACGGGCTGCACCGTTCCCCTCACTGCTCCGTCATGGGTCACTAACTTCCTCCGACTGGATTCTCTCCCACGGCTGCAGCCCTTCCCGAGCTGCTCCGGCGTGGGACTCCCCCGCATGCTGCAATCCTCCCAGCACTGAATTACAGCAGCGGGGCTGCCTTTTCCCATGAGACCCTGGCCTTCTTCGGGCACAGAACCTTGATTATCCGAGCAGGAACAACAGGCTGTAAATCAATGTCTGCTCCACTGTAGATCTTCATGGGTGGCAGGGGGGGGCCGCCCTGCCGTCTCACCACAGGATACAGGGGGGTCTCTGCTCCGGCACACCTCCCCCCTCCTTTCTTCCTCCATTCCTCCACTGACCTTGGTGTTCACGCAGCTGCAGCAACTCCTCCTCACAAGTCCCACTGCCCGTCACCACGTCCCTTCTTAAATATGTTATCGCAGAGGCGCAGCCGATTGGCTCAATTTCCCAAACAGAAGTGGAGCTGATGTGGAGCTGGGGGAGCTTCGAGAAGCTTCTCACAGGGGGCCGCCCCGATAGCCCCCTCCCCTGCCACCAAAAAACACCACTCACTCAACCCAGGACACATGTGTAAACATCTGACCGTACTATGGTTCATGTGAACAGCTGCAATGCAGAGGACAGGTCCAGGGAGCCCACCCCCATGCCAGGTTCATGAAGAAAAGTAAGAGATTAGGGACAAAAAGATAAAATCTCACTTTGATTTGCAATGATGGATCAGAGGTGAGCTGACTTGTTTGTTGATACATTCTTAGGCAGCTCTAAAAGAGAGACAAAATCCAGCTGGACCAGGGCTGCTTTGAGCATGGAGGGTTTTCTAATTCTTTTTTGATGCCTGTAGATCAGGAGGCTGGAAGAGCTCATGGGGGGATTCAGGGGAAGATGAATCTTTGGGAGAGGCAGATAAAATCCAAGAGAGTAGGGGAGGATGCTGAGGAGAGAGGTGCAGGATTGTGTGACAGTGGGTGGGGACACTAGCCAGGTTTGGTGGTGTTGTGGGAACAGGAGGTTGGGAAATGCCAGAGGGGTTTCAGACAGTTGTGAGAGTTATTATTGGTTTGTCCTGGCTCATTTTCTGTAGCCAACATCCTTCTCAGGATTCTTTTCCTTTCGTCATTTTCCAAGGTCACCCACAAGGTTGTAGCACAGCTATATGATGAAGAGGCAGCATGTTTCCCGTGTCTTCACCACTCTCTAATTGCTCCTTCACACACTCAGCTTTTGCCCCTGCTTCAGTTCAGTGCTTTAGGTCAGGAAGCCTAAGACAACATCTCCTTTTCTAGTACCTTCTCCCTTTGTGTACATCCAAGCAAGGTATGCCTGGATTTCTGACTTCACCTGAGGGCAGTATTGCAGCATCAAGTTAACACAGATTTCCTGGACGTTTCAACGGGTCTGATGCTCTACTCCACTCTGGTGAGAGCCCACCTGGAGTACTGCATTGAGCTCTGGAGTCCAGCACAGGAAAGACATAGACCTGTCAGAGTGAGTCCAGGGGAGATCCAGAAAAATAATCAGAGAGTTGGAACACCTCTCCTACGAGGAAATGCTGAGAGAGTTGAGGCTATTCAGCCTGAAAAAG